AGGAGGTATAGGATATGCTGTGAGCCAGTTTTGCCATGTTTGTTTCAATAAAAAGCTCTACCCTGATTATTTTTCTCCTTATTTAGAATAAGTTCCAATCCACCATCACGATGACATTGAAGATCATTCCTATTAATACGATACGCATCGCCACCTTGTAATCTACATAGTAAGCACAACCAGAAAAAGACACGACGACATAAAGATTCATTTGAATTAGTATCTATGTATGGGTGAGTAAGTATCTGTTCGATTTCTTTAGAAGTTAATCCATCCGATTTTTTTGGGTCACCTAGCCCTTTACTTTGTAGAATTCTCATTTTACTGTTGAGTGTATGAAGAGCACGGGGAAACTTGTAACGGACCCAGATTTTTATTGCTGAAAGAACACTATTTTCTTTGAGGTATCGATTAATAGCGCTGTAGCAATTATGAACTGATTCAACCTTGTAATCAGAGCCATCATCTTTTTTTAGCCAGGTTATAAATTCACACAAATAATTTTCAAGCACTTCAGTATTATCTATTAACTCGATTGGTTGAGTTTTGTTGCAACTTTTATTAAACCGGTCCAATGTCCTAAGCCACTTCACCGTATTTTTTTCAGTATTCGTTACTAGAGATGCATCTTGTAGTTGATTTATTTCGTCTTGTGTTGGAAGTTGCGAAGCCGGGTTAAAATCCATTTTTTTTTTTTTTTTTAAAAAAATGATTTTATTAAATGTGTATTGGGAAAAGAAAGTGAGCGAAAGTGTGAATGTGATTAAAAAGTGATCGTATATATATGAAAAAGGTCGGTGCTTACGTCAGAAGCATCGGATAACCGTGTTATTAGTTAAGTTGCAGCCGATAAATCTGATTATTGTCGGGATTTATAACACGGAGCACGTGCCGCTTCGCGGCACGTGCTCCGCATTATATCCCAACAATAATTCAGTTATCGTCTACAACATAACCAATAACTAGTACTTATTAGTCGACTAAAAATCAACTAAAAGTAAAAAAAAAAACAACGGTCATCCAAAATGATTCGAGTTAGATTATAAACGAACACAGAATACGGCTCTGTTGACCGAATTTCTTGAGAAATATCCGAAATATTCCGAAATCATGTCCATAATAGACATTTAGACTAATAGTCGGGATTGGGATTGGTTGACTCAATCGAGTCCTATCAATATTTAAATACATTATACTCGTCGACTAGTCATAAAATTAGTCGATTCCTATCACTAGACCAGACCAGACCAGATGATCAATCAAATAATTATGTCTATATATTGTCCAATCTCTACCTACATGTTGTTTTCAGATCGACTCATAATTTGTTCAAGCTTGGTATCAGATGTGTGATCTCAACAAACAATTCAAGGACGAGGAAGTAGAAACAAGGATATTGATATGGATGATATACATAGCATGGTAATTATGTAAGAATAACGAACCATCAAGTATTGTTCACTTACGGCCTTGCCTGGCATGTAAAAATATTATATATGAATTATTATTAAAAAAAATAGCTATTTCAAGGAACAGATCTGTTTTTTCGTCAGCCGTTTCAGCGTGATCTGGTATGAAATGCAAAGACGGCTTATAATAAAGTTGTCAAATTAATACATATTATGATAAATTTACGTTAACAAACCCGGATCCAAACTCTATTCAGGAAAGATTATACACTTTAAATTATATATAAGCTTATAGATTGTTTTTGCTAGGAATGTTAAGTACATAGTCAAATAAGACCAAATCGCCAACTAGTTTATTGGGTTCTTAATTTGGACAGTCTGGTTTTGTTCCAAACCGCTGTCCCTGATTGTAATTAGGGATGTTAATCGGTCCCGCAGTAATTATCAGTTGACTTTGAACAAGACATGTAGAAAATTGATATTTTTAACTAGTGTTCGTTCAATAAGTAAAGTTATAGAAAAGTTATTTCTCTATAACAGCCTAATAAAAGTTTATCGGTTTTTGCATTAGTTTTTGAGTAATTTGGATGGGACCGATTAGGGACCGAACAGTGTGGAGAAAATTTTGTTGATCGGTCCCTAATCGATCCCATCTAGATTACTCAGAAACTAATGCAAAAGCCGATAAACTTTTATTAGAGACTGTTATAGAGAAATAACTTTTCTATAATTTTACTTATTGAACGAACACTAGTTAAAAATATCAATTTTTTACAAATCTTGCTCAAAGTCGGTTGACAATTACTGCGGGACCGATTAACATCCCTAATTGTAATGCGAAACAATTATCACTATTTCTAACGTAAGTGAACAAATGTAAAAAGAATAAAAATAAAAGCAATTACAAACAAAAGCGATTGAAAACAAAACAGCTATTAAATAACAGCTATTAAACAACAGCTATTAAATAACAGCTATTAAATAACAGCTATTAAATGACAAAGGAGATTTTTTTTAAAAAAAAAAATGCTTCGGCACTTTCACGTGTTACTTTTTGGCTATTACCGCTGTGATAACTACCATAGATAATGTAAATAATATTGAAATTACCGAAGCACATACTCTTTACAAGGCAAACCACTTTGATCTGTTACATCTAATAAAAGAATATAAACTTTCTGATCCATTACCGTTACATTAATATCTCAAAGCACTTGCGGTTATTTTGTTTACTTTTATTATGCATATTACGCTGGAAAAAACGACTAGAATTACGTAGTAAATTTCATGGTAATACCTATAACAAACTAAAACAAGAAGTAACAAAATAATCGAAGCTTATTCAATGGAACATTTGCAGTCAAGTTTTCGCAGTCGCAGATTCTTGTTTTCGTGAGCTTGTGAAAGGACTCAATGAATAACTAAAGATCACTATCTCAACGGCCTATACATATTTTAAAAACTATGGCGAGAAAAAGAACTATACAACTGACATTTGGACTGCTTACAATAATAATACGTTTCATTGGATCGATAATAACGATTGGAATAGGCGAAAATTATTTCCTATATTTCCTAAATATAATATCGGAAAAAAATAGTATTGCTGCAACAATAGACAATGGATCAATATGATCACATGCGTTATGCATTTACAACAATACTAAAGAAACTTTGTTTCTGTCGCACAACTTATAAATTTAATTGTTATGGAAAAATTAAACTGTCGACTCTGTCATGTAAAAGCAAGACTGAATATTTGCATCAATTATTCGTAATTCTTAATTCTCAACTGATTTTAAAAATTAATGTATGAGATGGAATATTCATTTATAGACCACAATTCATGAAGGATCATTGGATTTCGTCGCATTCTGTGGAAACCTGTCGAAGAAATAATACCATTATAAATATTCTAAAGTTTAAAACGTATTACATTTTTATCCTATAATAATAAAACTATGTTATGAAAACCATTAAATTTGGGTTTCGATCCAAACTATTTTTTTTTTTTTTTTTTTGAGTTATCCAACAAGATGGAACAGTACGTATTTAATGATTAAGAAGCTTCAAAAAATTGTTCCAACAAGATGGAAGAAGCTTCGAAAAATTCGAGAAATGACGACTTTTAGAAAATTCGAAATTTTGCTAGTATCGATGAAGAACCTTCATTAATTCATCCAAACAATTGGACCTATGCTCTCTTGTCAAGTCATTTGATGAATTTGAATTTAGCAGGAAAAGCTACTCATATTTTATAAGAAAGGATTACAATGAATTTAATTAAGAAGTTAGAATCGGAAAGAAGACAAAGAAACAAAGAGAAAAAAATAAATAAAAAAATATGCAATAAGATTAATTATCAAGATTTTTTAAGAATCACAACTGTGCTGCAACGATGATGAACGAGCAAAAGCTAAAGTGGAATATACTCTAATCAACGCTCGAACCGTCAGCATGTCACTGATACTAACTTTTGTATTGTTTTACTTAATAATTTGGCTTTTAACCATGTTATTAAAACATAAGTTGTTGTATAATTTGGTATGGGTTTAGAAATAATAGGTTGTTTTAGATCGTAGTTCACGCTTTATCAAGATCAATAAAACATCTGACGAAAAAATGTAAATTAGGTGCGCAGATTAGCTGCCGGTTTATTGGTGTATTCATTTTTTCCAAATTTATCACTATATAATTACGACAGCATCAACTACATCTGCAATTTTTGCTAAAATACTTGACTGTTCTGCTCTGTTCTACTCTATCTTATGTTGCACTACAATGCACTAACTTTGTCCTCCTACATATAATGTCGCTAGAAATTTGTGAAACTTAAATTATCTAAATTATTTACTGGAAAAACTTAAAAAAAAAAATTAAATAAAATAATTTCCAAAAAAATATTTACTGGGAAAACTTAAAACGAAAATCAAACAAAGTAATTTCCAAAAAAAATAACCTTAACCACTCAAAGGATGCGAAAAAGTAAATTAAATAATAAAGTCAAAGATCAAAGATAAAGATATCGTACAATTCTGCTCTATGGATCACGAACTATTCAAATGTTTAACAAGCATATTTCTTTGCGAGGTATACCTAAAAACCGCTTGATCTAGATTAGAAAGTCCAGTTAGTTAAATTAACTCTGCTTGTTTACCTTATACATACAAATTACATGATATTTATAGAAAATATGATGCAAACCTGTTTTTTTACTCGGTTTTTGGTTACATTATTCTCAACAAGGCATTAATCATACGATTTATCCAATTTTAGGTTTTCTTGAGTGCCATATATTGAATATAAGCATTTTACTGTTCTATTTTTATCTATTTCGTCGGACTTAGGTAATGAGTCGATGTTCTAGAAAATGTCATTTAGGAATTATAAATATAAGTCCTATAGACAGTTAAAGTTTTTTCTTTGATAATTGATTTATCCATCCATTCATTTTTGATAATTGATTTATCCATCCGTTCATTTTTTTTTGATAATTGATTTATTCATTCATTTTCAAAAAAAATCTAACAGTAATAATTAATATATATATATAATACACAAAATACTTTTTATCTATATATTAATTCAAAAATGCCAACTATATTAACATTACCTCACAAGCTTGTGCTCGAAGTTTTTTCCCATCTACCAACTCGTGATCTATGCCGGTACATGGTCCTTTCTCGATATTTTGATCAAGGAATAAAAGAAATTATCGTAAAACGATTCCATAAGGCTTTCTCAAATCAAAATAAACGTCTATTGGTATAGTAATAACATTTTTTTAATTTACTTTAAGTAATAGTATTAACACATAGAATTGAATTGAACTAAATCAATCAATCCTTTTTTTTTTTTAGGTATTCGTTTCGCGACATGATCTACTCAGATTAGAACAAACTCGCCATGCATTTGATTTTGCATTTGAAAATATAAATAATAAAACTCTCACTTCAATTTTCTCTGTTGATTCAACACAACCAAAAGGAACAATTGGACCAAACAAATCAAAAGTTGAAGGTTTAAAACTTTGTTATGGCGGTATCTGGCATCAAAGGTTAATAAATGATTCTATACAATATTTCGGACTAGGTACTGAAGAACAAGAAGCAAGAATTTATATATATGATACTAAAACGAACCGACCATATAGCAAAGCATGTTTTGTTACAAGCGGTAGATTAATAGCTCCTGTGAGTCAAGATATATATGAATCTGTTAAAGGATGGTGGTCTGCACCGCTTTTACCTAAAAATAAAAAACAAGCTCCAAAGGTCAAATTTACTGGGAGAAATAAAATAAAAGAAAACTCTCATGGGATTTCTAATGTAACTGGAAAATTTAAAACTATTTCCATAAAAGCAAGTTTATTATTAATTACTTTAGAAGAACCAAAATTTGATAAATCTGATATTGGTGTTAAATATATACTAAAGGAGGGTGGTGAAGAATATTTTAACCATAAAAAAAATTGCATTATTCAATAATTAGATACATTAGATACTGCATTGGTTGGACAATACATGCTTTTTTAAAATATATAGATTTTTAAAAAAATCATTTTATTATTATTATTATATATATATATATATTGTCATTTTTATATATTTTGTAAAATACCTCTTATACAATATCAATTATTAGATTTCAAAAAATTAACAGTTAAATTGTATCAAAATAAACAAATATCATTTCTATTTATTCGACTAACATAGTTATTGTATGTGAAACAACCAATGACTGAAGATTCATATGATGAATAATAAGAGTAATTTGCTTATTCGCGTTATTTAGATAATTATTTATTTGAATATTCGCCGAACACTAATAGAAGCTCTATGAATAACTGAAATTTGCGAAAATTTTCATCAAAAATTAAATTCATGCTTGCATTCTCTCCAAACAAAAAATGATAGCTAAAAAACTAGGTGATAATACGATTTAGAAGTCAATTTATGTAGAATAGATATGTATCATAAAATAGATTGGTAAAAGTACATTGAAAGAGTTATTAAATAAAGTGTTTGAATCTATAATTTATTAATAACGTTAAAGTTACTGATCGTTCCCATACATAATACGTAAACTATTAATATCATATTATATAGTATATATATAATTACATATAACTATATTTCAAGGTTTTTGACAAATTTTCGAGATCGCACATCAGCTTGTCTTGTAGGCTCTGGAATACGATAGTGACAACATTTGATAACTAATTGAATTGCTGTTTCAAGGCATATTTTATGACCAATTGATACATATATTGGATTAGTAGTATTTTCTAAACTTCGAACCGCCTTATCGAATGAAAATGAAATTAGCAAAATTCACAATA